GAGGTTGGGAGTGGGGAGACCAATGATTTTGGAGGCGTGGTGTGTAGTATAAAATCCAGGGATCACAAGATTAGAATTTTTCATTTTACTATCTCTTTGATTATTCTTTGAACAATATTGATAAACACCTTGGGTCTATGTATGTTTTCTATTATATTTTTTACAGATGGCAAGGAGAAAGATGAAAACCCATTTGTTTATGGTAAGTATAGGAAAATCCTATACTTTTCTGTCATCATCAGCACATTGTCAAGACATAAAGACAGTGTCTACACATAAGTTAAACTGTTTGCTATAAATGGCACATTGATTATTGTTATTGCCATATTATTGATTTGTCCCATGTCTCTTCTGTGGCATTCTGGCGTCAACTTCTTCTGTAGACTACGAGAGCCTGAGGATTGGAGGATTGGCATTGGCCGTGGTGCTGTTCACGCTTGGCATTCTCCTCATCCTTAGTAAGTTAACGTGTGTGTGTTTGTGTGTATGTGCTTGTGTATCATTTTATTATGTGTACATGCACTCAGTGTAATTAAATGTTACAGTCACTTAAAAAATAATGAATCATTATTGCATTTCCACACTATGTTACTACACCGTTACATTATCAGGTAATAGTGGCATTCAGAATACATCTTACTAATTAGACCTCTGGTCAACACAGCTCATGATTTCTTATATTTGTAGGTCGACGGTGCCGCTGCAGTATCAACCAGAAGCCCAGGTATGTCAGTGTCCCTCTCTGATTGAAAAAACCCCCCAAATACTTGGCTTTGTGAGGCTTTTATTTTATCATACTACATAATTTGGTTACCATAACAACCTGTGGATCCTCTCTTCAGGGCACCAGGAGACGAGGAGAAACAGGAGGAGAACCTGATTGTCCCCATGGGTAAGATGCACATTTAAACTCTGTGCTAGCTCCACTCACCTCTGTCTCACCCCCTGACACACATCCATAATTAAATTTCCCATTGGGCGTGCCCACAGCACAGAGGAGAGGATTGGGGATTCTGTTTACAGATACTGTGTGTGAGACAGACAGACAGACACAGAGTGAAAGAGAGAGCTTACAAGTTACATAAATTACTGCTGACCTTTTTCCAAAGCATATCACAAGTTTCATTTTATACCGTCACAAGCTGTTTCAGGTTTCAGTTCACTTCAATATAGTACAAAAATCACCTGGCAAGCAGTTTCTGATCTGTAATAGGTTATTCCTTCAAATGATTGCATGTAAGTTAATGAGTAAGTAAAGTTCAATGTTTCATTTAAATTACTCATTCTTGACGCTCTTTCAGCTGCAGTGGTTGCAGAGACTGCAGCAGAGAACTGAGGCAACTCCACCGGACCAGACTGCCTTCTGAAATGAAGATCAATTTTATTTGATATTTTACGCGATTATACCAGTTGAGAAATAGCTGATTATTATTACTGGTTATATGACAGGGTAAGAGGGAGGTATACGTTTATAGGTGTAATATGTACATAAATCTTGTGCCCTGAAGACAAACCTTTAGCCTGTTGTGCTCTGTTGTGATTGTGCCAGTCCCTCAGTGCTCTTGTTCGTTCCTGTGCCTTTCTGTAACAGTCTCTCACTCCCATTCTTTGTCTTAGCTAGTAGCACCTTTGACACGAGATTGTCTTTGAAGCCCCAGAGGAATTTTTAATGTTGTGTGGTCTGCTGTTCTTCGTTTTGTACTTATATCTATTGCCTTTAGGTTTTAGGATTTGTTGTTTATTTTGTCAAATGTCCTGGATAATGTTTGTCACATTTGGATTATAACACATATGCATATATACTGTATACATATATAAGTAAAAAATACTCACAGTTTACAGATAAGATATACAGTTAAATATTCTTCATTTAGGTCTACGTTTGAATGATTGAGCGTGTTTGCGTGCACACGTTGGTATATATGTGCGTGCATATTCTATACGTTTGTATGATTGTGTGTATATCACAAGTGCATGTGTATCTGTACATGTAAATGTGATTAGCCTTATATAAGACAATCTCTACTGCCACAGCTCTCTGACTGAGCACAGGAATGATTTGCAGGTATCTGCATGAGCTCCTCCACCGCAGTATTTTACCATCTATAGTGGAGGGAGCTCCTGCATCAGCTGTCTCACTGCCTTCTTCTCCACACATTCACTCCACTCCTCTGTCACCGGCTCTGCCAGGATTAACTAGTCTCTGGCAGACTGTGATTAGTTTCCCCGCACACACTCACTGCAAATCTATTAAGCCTGGGTCTCTTTCTTTTCTCTTTCTTGTTTCTTTATTAAATTGCTTAGTCAGTCTCTTGAATGTAATGATGCTTTCAATGGCCATATATGTAGTACATTTCTGAACAGGAGAGACAAAGTTTGAGTGCTGTTGAGTTTGAGAGAACTAAATTGATATTATTTCTGTGCTAGACTACATTAATAGTAGCCTAATGTAAGCCAAATCACAGCAAGAGAACAAAATGAACATGACCTTGCTGTGAATCTCCTGTCAGGTCAGGCTTTCACCAGTCTCAAGTCTGAATATACCGGTTTTAAACATGACTGCTGTACAATTAAACGCTATGTTCATTCTACGCATGAGGCTTGTTGTGTAGCGACCTGTTGTGCTTTTGGCATAAATAAATAAAAGTATGTCTAACCACACATATTAATGTCTTCAGGGATTTTATGCTTCAACACTTTAACAGCATTTGAAATCCTTCTTTTGGTAATTTCCAATCAATGTCAATCAAGGTTACAAACTGCTACTTGGTGCTATGAAACTATGTCAGAAAATGTGTTCCTCACCAGTGGAGCCTGTAATATGCTGATCTTCTTATATGATTCCAAAGGTTAGCACATATACACTCTTTATTAGCATCAGAGCACAGACTTTATGACACTGTAAATATGTAACTGAGCGGCGCTTCTGAAATATGGCTGTGGGCGTGTGAGGTGGTTTGCGTGTGGGTGGGTATTATAGGGTGGATCTGTGGGGTGGGAGTTTGGTCTGCACCTGCCCCAGACGCAGCCGGGGCCACACACACGCACACACACCTGAACAGAGGTTATACAAGCCTTCAGCAGCTCAGGTGAGTAATAACTTGCTTTCCTAAAGAGATGTTAAATTAAATTTGCAAGTCATAAAAATCAATATGTTGTGTGCAGTTCAGATGCTCAATGCAGTGCAGAAGTACAATGTTAATTCATGTTTTGGAGGGGTTAGTTGATAAAATTTGTATTTATGTGTAAAACAGAAATGATTGACATTTTTACAATAATAAGTTACTCCATCATTTAATGAGTTAAAATATAAAAGCACACATGCTCCAATTAATGTGCGTCGTAAAAGTGGGTTTAGAGGACAGACAGTGGTCTTGTTAATTACCCCCTGATTTGAAGAAATCTAATAGCAGTGATGCATCGCTGCACTTTAGGGGTGGTGTGTTTATCTGCCAAAATCACAGGGTATCAATTCAGCGTTATTGGGTGTCACCGTAACTAGTCATTCTTGCCCCATCTATAACCTCTATCAGACTGTGCAAGGTTCAAGGTTAATGAATATTGGAGCTGTAATATATTAATGAGTAACTGTTCGGTATGCCCTTATGCTCAGTGGTGCATTGAAAAGGCCCAGACACATAACAAATGAAAGCACTGAAGTCCACAACTCACAGTGGCGCGCTCAAACAAAATGGAGACAGCAAGGGAAATTTTTACTCTGTTAATCTGTGTAAGTTAATGATTATAGGTCAGGGGATGTAGATCAAATGAGAAGCTTGTGCCCAGTAAGTAAGTAAGT